TTCACACAAGGATAACAGAATATATTTTATGAGGCTGTTACTGAATTCGAGCGGTAAAGAAAATTTCGAATGGCTACATGACGGAAGTTTCAGGATAATTTTGCATCTGAAAATATGTCATAATATCATGCTATTACTGTTTGCCAAAATTTTGCTAATTGATAAGTCTTACGGTCTTCGAGATATGAAGGGTGCAGGGCATGGCATAAGGGCCAATGGTGGCCACTTTGAACACCTAGAAAATTTTATTTTTGTAAAAATGGCAACTAGACGAGTGTGGATTTTTGAAAAAAAATTATTGCTGCATAACTCAAAAATCATGAGACTTTTGACTAAACAACACTTTCCCATGATGTGACCTATTTCCAGTTGCAGGATTATCCTTTAATTTCTGGACCGCTGGACCTTCTAGAAGGTACGATACACTTATTTTTCGAATGGTAAAAAAATATACGCAATTCATGTCTTATTTGAAAAACTCCTTGATAACATTATGGGTTAATAAAAAGACATTTTCCTCTGGTATGTCAATCTTTGAAAATATCTCGAATCTCTCCAAATCGTGTTTTTAGGGATTTTTTTACTATATTATTCTTCTCCATGTCACCAAAAAGCTTAACAAGCGTATCTTCATTTTAATGTCGGTACTATTAGTTATTATTATTTGTATACCAAGTTACATATAAATCCGAACACCTAGTTTAAATGGTTTTATTTTAATAAAATTTTGTATAAGTACTTAATGAAGCATAATAAGTAAATGATAAAAATTTCAAAATGATTGCACTGCTTTAAAGCCCTTTGACCTTTAATAATGTGTGGATGCACCCTGATGTGCTACGCATTCTCCAACGCGCCTAGGCATGCTTCTGACCAGGTGGTCAATGTCCTCCTGTGGTATCTCATTCCAGGCAACCACCAACTCCTCTCGAAGTGCTTCTAGAGTCTGAGGAGGACGTTGCAAATTGAGTAATCTCCTACCCATCATATCCCACACGTGCTCAATTGGGGATAAATCGGGAGATCTTGGTGGCCATGGTAACAATGTGACATCATTATGTTAAAAGAAGTCTATTGTGACTCTTGCAACATGTGGTCGGGCATTATCTTGTTGGAAAGTTGGATCTGCCAGGGTGTCAAGATAGGGTAAAAGATGGGCTTCTAGAACTTCGTGGATATAACGCCGCGCGTTCATGTTACCTCTGATGATGATTAAAGGTGACCTGGAACCATAAGCTATAGCACCCCAAACCATAACTCCAACAGTGTGATGAACATGTCTTTCAACAAAAAACTGTGGATTCCTCCTTTCACCACGTCGCCTTCTAACCCTGGCACGACCATCGTGCATGCCTAAACAAAATCGATACTCGTCACTAAAGACAATACTGTTCCATTCCTGATAACAGAGTGACCGTTGTCTGCACCACTCAAGGCGATTACGTCGGTGTTCTCGAGGTAAAGGGAGGACCCAGTGTGGCCGGTATGAAAACAAGCCAAAACTTCTCATTCGTCGGTAAACAGTTCGCATGCCAATAGGTCTTCCGTGTTCTGCAAACCATTCAATTGCAATGGACCTGGTAGAGGAGAAACGGTCCCTTAAGGCCAATAATCTTAGGCGGCGATCTTCACGGTCTGTTGTTCTACGGCGGCGTCCAGTGCCCCTTGCTCTTTGCGTACGGCCTTCTCGAAGCCATGCCCGACAACACCTAACCACAGTGTCTACACTTCTTTGCACTCTAACTGCAATTGCCCGAAAAGAAAGTCCAGCTTCCCGAAGTCCCACTATACGGCCCCTATCAAACTCACTAAGTTGACGAAATCGTACAGGTCTCCGTACTGTAGGCATCGTAACCGATCGCAAAGGATGTCAAGAACCAAAATCCGCCAACGTTGATTCTTTACTGCGGCTGTAATATTCATTTTTAGAGCGTTAGTGAATTAAAAAAAAGCAGTATAAAAACCGGAATGTCCAACTGATAAGGCTGAAAATTTGTTCACTTGTTATATACAGTAAGATAAATGCATCCACCAACTTTTATTAAAATAAAACCATTTAAACTGGGTGTTCGGATTTATATGTCACTTAGTATATATATTGACAAGCATCATGAATGAATTTATTATGTCCTTTAGAAATAAATACGAATAATACTTCATGCGTAGTATTTTATAAAGATCATTTACATATGTAGATTACATAATATTGTAACTGTTACAGAGTCGCATAAGCTCCAGTTTGATAAGAAAAATAGTTAATTTTTATAGTAACATTTTAATTGTTGTTGAAAAAGTTATGGTAGTAGTAAATAGCGCCAAATCGCAAGTCGAAACCAATGTACGCACATTTCAACATGATTGACATTAAACCGATTTCAAGGTTGAACATAAAGTGTAGATGTTTGTGGTAATCGAACAGCAAAGTTGTAAAATCTTATACATAAAATCTTATAGTTGTTGTTGGGAGAGAACAGTACGCCCTGAAACTCTACCACATTTATTCAGCAGAACACAAAATTTACCAATATAAAAATAATATATATCTGTAAATTAACGAAACAAAAACAAGGTTTCTCTATAATATATGAGCGCCTAAGTTTAAAAACTTGTATGCGCAAAAACAGACCAAAACAGTAATTAATTGATAAATATCGTGCAATATATATTTTTGTATAAAATCACTCAACTGTACAAACAAAACATGATACACGATATAGACCAAAATGAAAGAAAATTTCATATTTTTGTAAGTAATAGATTTAACTTAAGATCACAGAAAAAAGTCACAATAATATCAAAAAGAATTAGATGGAACAAATAGGCAGATCAAACTACCTCAAAGCAACTTAAAATAGACGCATAATTGTTCACGATTTTCCCAACAGAACATATTAAACGAAATATTAAATTTTTTATTATTTCCAATATTCCTGATATTAGCAGGAATCAAATTGTAAAAATTTAGGTGCAAGATATGTCACAAAACGCAAATTTAAATCTCGCCTGGACTGCGGGACGTTCAGGTTATGAGTGGTGTTTGCTCGGGTCATATAATTGTGGGATACATAATTTGTATTTAATTTCTTACTTGCATGTACAAAACTACATACTGCAAGGATATATAAGATTTTTAATATTGTTTATTTCTTGTGAATAAAGTTGCATAGTGGGATATAGTCTAGGTTTTTTTTAGAATGATCCTTACAATATGGTTCTGCACCACTTTTTAGCTGCCCAAGATTGAACCGTACATCCCACCCCACACAATTATGCCATATACCAATAGTGGCACCACAAGTGCTTTGTAAAATCATTATAGTAGTTTAATGTTCAGTATATTACGAAGAGCGTAGAATTATGAATGAAAAATCTAATTTTTTTGCTCAAATACAGCACATGTCGGTCCCACTTCAAGTGCTTATCAACAAACAACCCCCAAATATTTAATTTCATTTACTTCTTTCAAAGGCTCATCAATATTATCAAGTTAATTTGATTAAATGCTGGTCTATTAGCCATGGTTATAGAGAAGGCAATGTAATGAGTTTTTTTTATATTCAGAGTTAATTTAAATGTGTCCAGAAGGTTTTTAATTTTTGCAAAATTAGTCTTCAATTTTTCACCCGTTGATTCCCATGTCTCTCCATGAAACACCACCACAGTGTCATCAGCATAGGCATTACATCGCCATCAACTGCAAGACTGCAGAGGTAATTTACATACATATTAAAAAGAATTGGCCCAAGTACTGTACCCTGTGGAACTCCATGCTGAACCGTCTTAGGTTCACTTAGAACGTCCGCAATCCTGACACACTGAATCCTATATTAAATAATCTCTAAATACACTTAACACAGCACCCCTAACTCCATGTCCCTCCAGTGCTTGGAGGAGCATAGGATGAGATACCGTGTCAAATGCCTTTGCTAAATCCAAAAACAAAGCGATGCACTTATCACCGTTATTTAAATGATACATTATTTTAGACGCTAATTCATAAACCGCATGTGATGTGCTTAAACCTTGTCTAAAACCAAACTGATTCTCAGATAACAACTTATTTGAGTCCAAGAATGCAACCAATCTAACCTTAAGGCATTTTTCAAATATCTTTGCTAAATTTGAGATTATACTTATTGGTCTATAATTACTTATATATTCTTTATCTCCTGCTTTGTGAATAGGT